TTTGGACTTTATCACCACTTAACATCAGGTGGGGTAGAGTCATTTGCCTACCTAGTATTATAAAAAAAAAAAAAAAAAACATCTATTATTGTATACGATGAAATAAATAGTTTTTATTTATTTTTTCCATTTCCATAGCTGACAAACTTATCGATAAACTTACGCGTTGAGACATGAGCTGCGTTTGAGTCACTAGCAATACACGTGCCGGTGTGAGAGCGAGATAGCTTATATGATGTAGCCCATGCGAGAAAGGGATAGTGTAAAAAGACATCAACGCGTTCACCAAAAAATAAATACAATTAACAGCAATTTAATATAACAGTATTTTTGTCTTTTTGTAATGCATTTAAACTAACCAGTGAAAAGTAATACCATTTTTTTGAAGACTGGAAGTTGTACTCGACTTTCCACACAATTTAATTGCACAGTACGGCATTTTTTACAGTTTTTTAACACGAAAACGAGAGAAACAGTTCGACCAACGCTCGGTTACCGAATGAAACGATGTATCGCGACGTCTGTAGGCGTGCCTCACGCATAGGTAAAATACTACTTAAGCTTGGCGTAAGCGCTTGCCCTTGTATGCGGACTCTAGTGGGGGTGCTCCGTGACTATGTAGGAGTAGACTGCGGGAATACTAAAAGAAGAAATTAAATTTATGTGTTTATAAACGTAGATAAAACCTAGGCGAAAAAGAAAAAAAATGGGCTATTCGCAGCATCTTATCCTATACGAAGTACTTATAAAAAAACTGTGATACAGTTCCCTTTTATTAAATTATGAAGAATAAATTATCATAATGGGTATTTATGATTATTGATTTTTAATGAAAAACTCAGAATTATATACTGTTTTTTTAACGATATTACTTAACGTTACAAAAAAAGGGTTACATAATGGTCGACGAATAAAAGTAAATTTACTGCTAAACTACTAAAAAGACCATAAACAAAAGATGACTTTTTGAAAAGTGCTAGTTTACAATAAAATTTACATACATTATAGATATATAGGTAACGACTTCATTTAACTTCACACATTTTTGCTAAAATTGAAGCCCATCTGTAGCCTTGACCCCGCTGGTAAAGTCTCTTTATCTTATTAAATCAATCGTTTACACCACCTCAAGGTACATAATAATTCCCGCGATATAAATTCCCTTACTTAAGTAACAAGAATACGGTATAAACCGTCTTATAATACTAACTAACTAAAAAATGTGAAATAAAAACGGTAAATTTGAAAAATCAAAAAACCCGACTGCTTAATTATACTGTAAATAAAAAAACGAGTCCAGTAGTCTAATGGGTCCCGACAGTTAAAGTAGCTTTGTTCCTTACTTAACACAATTATAGACTACTGGACTTGTTTTTTTTTAGTTTTTATTTGAAGTATGATTAAGGTTTTTTTGATTTTTTAAATTTACCTTTTTTTTCTTTTCACGGGTAAGTAAAACCTACAATCATATTCATTAGGTGAACCATGAATTTTGGAGGTAGATGAGTTTTTTTTCTTAACATGAGTTGTGTGAATTTAATGAATCAATTATTAAATAACGCGGTCGCGGTTACTTCCTTGTTTCGTACTACTTTTTAGAGCGTTTTTAGATTCGTCAAGTCTGTCTGTCTGTCCATCCGTATGTCACTGCCATTTTTTTCCGAATCTAAGAGCTCCACTATGCCGAAAATAATAATAATAAACTTTGTGAGTAGATGTATTCTGTGAACCGCATTAAGACTTTTATGCAAAAATAGTAAAAAACAATAATAATACCTATTTAACATTTTTTTTTCTTGTATTGTGTAGATTTCCGAAGAATGAAAAGCAGAATTTGATGTGGGAAAATGCAGAGCCTGGAAAAAATTCTAAGTTGTCGAAGACTTTGTCCCTGGTTATACAAGGAAAATGCTGAAAGCTGATGCTGTTCCATCAATATTTCCAAAAGTAAGGATAAATCAACTTACTTATGTTTCGAATTTTGCTCTGATCTACATGACTCTGTTATAATCTAATCTTGTTTATCATAATCCATTGAATTAGAATTTCTTTACAGGTCGTGCCCTGCGAAAAAAGAGTGCATGTTTTAAGCAATATATCTATAGGAGAAGGACCAAGGTTTGTTACAAATAATAAAAAAGAAGTGTGATAACTACTCGGAAGTCGAACAGATTTTGCAACATAATTTCGAAACCATTCATACAAAATTAAATACGACAAAATCCAACACGTCCAATAAATATTCAAATGAAATGAAATCGTTTGCCTTGCTTTGATCGCATTATAAGCACGTTCAATCAAACCCCACATAAACAAAACCTAGCCCGGGCCAAGCGCTAGAGCTCGGTTTACCGTCACAGCCACCGCGCGGGCCAGTCGAAAATTTCGTTTAGTAATTTTGTCACAACTTCGCCAATATTTTTCGTAGAACAAAAATTTAAACACTGTATTTTATGGAATCCTAAGCTTTATAAATCTGCATTTTTAAGTAAAATCGTTACGGATACTCATAATTATTGTCTTGATGTTTATTAATTCTTAATTTAGCGAAATGTAAAGTCGCCTTAAGAGCCCTTTTACAAAATTGCGCCGCTGCCGCCGTGCTGATCGGCGCACGCGCACGTAGATTAGCACTAGTCTAAATTGCATGTTTCGGGTCTTATAAAATAATTATTAATCAACTAATTATAAAATATATACATATTTCAGTAGTTCAATGATGGTACATTAGTTTTCTGAAAGTTTTTGATATTAATTCTATTTAATTCAATATCAAAATACGAGGTAAACCTGCCTTATTGGAACGAAAATTCCTTACGGCAGGCTTGGAGGGGATAGGGATTTAGCTGCGCGACCGAACTGAAAAAAATGTGATAGTAAAACCGTAAGAAAAAATGCGTGGAATAAAACCGTTAAATGAGACGTGCGCAGGCGCGACGAAGTTCCTTACGGCAGGAGAGAGAGCGACGAGGGTGCAATACTGAAATATTGTGATACTACACCAACAGTGAATATGTGTGAATTTATAGGGAGTGGTAGAGCGACGAGGGTGCATCACTGAAATATTGTGATACTACACCAACAGTGAATATGTGTGAATTTATAGGGAGTGGTAGAGCGACGAGGGAGCATCACTGAAATATTGTTATATTACACCAACACTGAATATGTGTGAAGTTATAGGGAGTGGTAGAGCGACGAGGGTGCATCACTGAAATATTGTGATACTACACCAACAGTGAATATGTGTGAAGTTACAGGGGGTGGTAGAGCGACAAGGGTGCATCACTGAAATATTGTGATACTACACCAACAGTGAATATGTGTGAATTTATAGGGAGTGGTAGAGCGACGAGGGTGCATCACTGAAATATTGTAATACTACACCAACAGTGAATATGTGTGAATTTATAGGGAGTGGTAGAGCGACGAGGGTGCATCACTGAAATATTGTGATATTACACCAACACTGAATATGTGTGAAGTTATAGGGAGTGGTAGAGCGACGAGGGTGCATCACTGAAATATTGTGATACTACACCAACAGTGAATATGTGTGAATTTATAGAGAGTGGTAGAGCGACGAGGGTGCATCACTGAAATATTGTGATACTACACCAACAGTGAATATGTGTGAATTTATAGGGAGTGGTAGAGCGACGAGGGAGCATCACTGAAATATTGTTATATTACTCCAACACTGAATATGTGTGAAGTTATAGGGAGTGGTAGAGCGACGAGGGTGCATCACTGAAATATTGTGATACTACACCAACAGTGAATATGTGTGAATTTATAGGAAGTGGTAGAGCGACGAGGGTGCATTACTGGATTATTGTGCCATTGTAGTTTATTATAAACTGTGGGCCAGTCCTGCCTAGCAATATTTACGAACACTAGCTGATCGAACTGAAAAAAATGTGATAGTAAAACCGCAAGAAAAAATCCGTGGAGAAAAGTGCGTGGAATAAAACCGTTAAATGAGACGTGCGCAGGCGCGTCAGTCGCATACACAAGCGAGTTTGCAATTTGTGTCGATTCTACATTAGCCGAAGGAACTTCGTTCCTACCTGGTGTCCCACGACACCACATAATTTTTTCTTACAGTTTTACTATCACATTTTTTTTAGGAAAGCTCCCAAAGGTTAGATGTTTTTCTTGATAATTAATGAGATGGAAAATCAAAATTCTAATACATTATGTTACAACAAAAACATATTTCTGATGTCATGTCGTAGTAATTAATTTGATCTAATTTATTGAACATTATTGAGAGATTGAAGTTGTGTAGAATGATCAATACAAAAAAAGGAAAAAATGTGTGCGTGTACTAGTGTACACAGTTATTTTTTTCGAAAAATGATCAACATGCAACTTTCCAGAAATATATATATAGGCGTGCGCTAAGAATTTTCAAAAACTCACCCACTAAAGGGGTATAACTACACCTTACCTTACCTTGTATGAAACACGAATATTTGCTGTCGATACTTTTTTTTTAAAGTTGACAGAAGAAGCAATTATTCGGATGAGGTAAATAGTGCTCTTTTAAAAAAAAGATGGCGCGTAACCAAAAAAACGTGACGCGTAACCGAATAAAAATGTGACGGTAAATTTTTTTCCAACGCCGATAAAGAAGTTTCACTTCAAAAATAGTATTTGAAATCATTTTACATTAACTTACAATAGGAAGAATAAATCTACTGTTTACTTCTATTGAAAATAGTCCAAATCTTTTCTAAGGGGGTAAACGAGGCGCTCTTAAATTACGATTTTTTGCGTAATATGTGAAAGGGCTCCTAAGGAATGTGATGTATTACTATTATTGTTTTGTATGATAAAATTTGTTTGTATAAAATAAAGTACCTATTGTTTTTAAAGGTTTACTTAAAATTCAATTCGGCTAGTATTAAACTGCAAATCAAAAAATTGACATTTTGTATAAAAATTAATTCCCAATCCTGAGCAAAAACACTTATGCACAGCAAAATAGTCACCTCAAAATATTGTTATATTAGTAAAAATTAAAGTTCGTGATGCATCGCTATTTATTAAAAACTAAAGCTTTTTTAAGAATGTATAGCTAATAATAACCACCTCAAAACAAATTCTATTTGTTTTGATATTGCATAATTTTTTTAAACAAAGCTGCCATATTTTTATCTCATACAGCAGTTTACCTAAGCCAAACACCGTTTTAATTGACATAAAATCTAATTATTGAAATAAAACTTCTTTAGGCACGCTTGACTTGGGGGGTAAACTGACGAATGTGTACAATTTCGAGTTACGATTAGTGTCATTGGTGATTCAGAAGGGGGCATTACTATGCGTGTATTCCGAAATATACATCAGTATACTGGCCAGTGGTAATGACGTCACGAATCCGACGCCATATTGTACTGGCATGCTACCATATTTTTACCGGGAAAACGAATATGACTTATGACCGAGGGTGCGTGAGAAGCATTCAAATTTTATTTCTTTTTTATTTAAAGAACAATAACGGCATCCGAACAAGAAGAATTCCTTTTAACTGATGAGGTGAATAAAAAAATCTTCTTTATTCGCACTATTTTTAATATTTCTTCGAATTATGACGTCAGTGCACTGGCCAATATATTTCGGAACAATTCACCAGTATAGCGTCGATTCATGACGTCATTAGCACTGGCCAGTATACTGGTATATATTACGGAATACACCCTATATCTCTATTATGCGATTCAAATAAGAATAGGAAAGCCAATGACCTCCATCTGTCAAATGTCGCTTGAAAAGTACGGTTTGCAAAAAAATCTTGAATGTAATGCAAATATGAACGGAATTAAAGAGCTTAATTCTGATTAATGATTATTCTCACAGTCTTAATAAATAAATATTATTAAAATTAGGTTGTTTTCTTTTCTTAAACTTATTAAATAAATCTTATTACAAAAAATCTGATGTTTTTTCTCATTTAATCTTAGTAAATAAATTTTATTAAATAAAATTTTTTTTTGCTCACTCTACCTATTTCGTTCGAATTGACAGCTATGACGTCACAATATGGCGTCCAGTCGGTCCTATTCTTAGTTGAATCGCATTTATAATACAGCTGAGGGTTCTTCATCAGATACTTCAGACCTTCGATTTTTGACATCAAATGAAGCGGCCCATTAAGTTGAATATTTTTTGTAAAGGCGGTACGTCGATCTCTTCTAACACAAGAGCCCAATTGTGTTTTCTAATCAGGGTCACCAGGTACTCCAGATCTTCGGTTATCCTAGTTTTTATAGTTTTCCTTTTATGTGGCCATTAAACCCTAACTCTATACCAAATTTCAGCTCTCTGGGTTTATGGGAAGCACTAGTTCTATTCTGATGATCATGAGTGTGTGTGTCATAAATTCGAAACTTTGCTTTCGCTTGACTTCGGAACTGAATGACCTACAGACTTGAAATTTTGGATTTTAAGTATGTGATTATAGCTTACTGGATGACGAAAATTTCTGCGTTCTGGTCTTATCCAGAGGTTCTCAAATAGGGGCCTGAAAATGCGGCGAAATGGTTCCAGTAAAGGATGGTACGGCAGTGTTTGCCACGCGTTCGACTTGGCGGGGGCACTGCCGTGCCCCCCGATGCAATTGCTGTAAATAACTTGATGGGCAATAAGTTATTTGCTGTGCATTTAAAAATACCCCATTCAATTCAAAAGGGTCACTGAGGTCATTAGGCCTCCAAATACCGTATTACGACTATTAGTTAACATTGTAGTTATTTTTTTATTTACTAAGCATTTAACTGCTAGATGTTGTATTGTAGGTTACCTACAATGGGAACAGATGGCGGCAATTAGTAAACATATTATTATCAAAGATTATGCACATTAACAATACAGATTAAGACTTTTCTATATACCTTAGGTACAGATATATTGGGTTTCACTTTATAAACAATTTTGGAAATGGAAATTTGAAATAGACTCACATAGATAGAAATTAAGTAATAAATGTATTTTCAATATGCTATTGTGGTTTCAATGCAAGGTTCTTGGCCCAAAGGTCGGACCAAACGTGCAGTTCTAGGTGCGACTTTACTATTCTGCACAACTGTGGCAGCTACATGACCTGAGTATAATGAAGCTGTGGTAGTGTGCGGGGCAGTAGGACTTTGAATACTACTTTGTGACTCAGAATCATTTTTCTGTAATTTTTCTGTAAGTGAAGTGATTTCTTTAGGAAGAGTAGTTGCGGTAGATCCAGGGACAGCACATGGGCGTCTTCGCCGCACTCGTCGCCTAACGCGACGAGGACGATCTTGATTTGAAGATATATCAGTATTTCTTTGGAAATTTATTTGCAATTTCTCATTACATTGTTCCTGTGATGTTTCCAGCAATAAGTTCTCATTTGATTGTTCTTGGAATTTTTCCAGCAAAGCTAAAGCTTTGTCTTTAATTTGTTTTAAATTTTCATCTTCTCTAAGCATTTCCAGCCCATCAACATCATCTTTAGAATAACAAATATCATTATTTATTATGCTTTTACTACAATCACTGTCGCTGACACAACTGTCATTCATTTTTCCTCTTTCATCATTAACAGTGACATTGACTTCACCACATTCAGACATCATCATAATGTTCTCATTATTCTCTTGAATATCAGCCTCTTGATCAGGAATGTCACTTGTAATAGTAGATTCTGTTGACTTTTCCCCAAATGTCCAGTTGCGCCCAACAGCTAGTGGTATAACACTGTAACAATGTATAAAACTGAAATATAATAAAATGATAAAATTAATGAAATAAAATAATGGCAAGCATTTTACACAAAAAATATTTTATAAAACATTAAAGACAAAGAAATTTGGTGACTCATTTCTATGTTGTATTATTTGTAAGTGGATTTCTTTCCCCGCGCATGTGTTTCCTCTTTCCTACGGTCCTTTAAGAGGCGTGAAGAAGCATTTTTGCAGGCCGGCAAAGTGAGGATGGTTGATGTGGCAGTTTATAACTACTGTACCAGCTATCTTCACATTTGGACTCTATTACCACTTAACATCAGGTGGGATAGAGTCATTTGCCTTCCTGACTAAAAAAAGGACATGGGTTTGAAGAGTGAATATAAATTGTCACCCTAATAGATTTCCTAAATTATAATATACTAGTGGCCACCTGTGACTTCATCCTCTTTGACTTTGTCTTTGAGAATCCTAGAGGAACCCCAGATTTTTCCAGGATAAAAAGTATCCTGTCTCAGTCCAGGTATAACTAAGGCGTACGTAATGTTATCTAAATATGTTCAGTAGGTTTTGAATGATTGATTAATAAACTTTCGCTTTTGAGAATCCTACAGGTATCCTACCTCAATGCAAGTAATATCTACATGTGTGCCAAATTTCATCTAAATCCCTTCAGCCAAATGGAAATGTATGGTATACTAACTCGACAGGATCGTCGGGCCGCAGTAAGGACAGCGGTTCGTCGGGCGGCAGCAGGTGCCCGCCGCTGAGTAGATACAGTCGCCGCGGCAGCGCGAACAGCCGCCGCAGTCGCCGCTGCAGCCAGCGCACTCGCCGGCCGCCATGCACCGACATGTAACACAGCGAACGATCGTCGTCAAAGAAACGACTCAAGTTAACGCGGACTCGGTATGCTGGTTCCGTCATTTGCTCCATCTTCACAAATTTATTTGTAATATAAATTATGTAAGTAATCACTAGACTAGAGAAATATCAATGAATAAAATTAATTGCTCTAGGAATAGGCAAACCAAGAAGCTATGAATCTTGAGAAAACACATTTGTTTTTTTTTTCTTTGGCAGTTGACATTTTTTTTTAATTTTATTAATTTTTTTGAGTAGACAAAGACAAGCAATACAGCATAGTTTTGACATTAAACTATGGAATCATGGGACATAGTCATTGGGTGCGGCCAGAGTGCACTCAGATTCAGATTCTGAAAACAAGCGCGAGAAATAAACAGTGTAGTCGAAGGGTACGGCCAGATTGCACTCCTGATTCAGATTCAAATTCAGACTCAGAAAACAAAGCGCGAGAAAAAGCAGGCAACCTGCTTAGACTACACTGTTTATTTCTCGCGCTTGTTTTCAGAATCTGAATCTGACTCTGAATCTGAGTGCACTCTGGCCGCACCCATAGACTACATTTTATTTTTACTTCTTTTTATAATCTCCCTTTCTGAGAGGGCAACGTCAACCAAAGCCATACAACCTTATGTTAAGGTTAATGAATAATTTTCTAAATTCACGATTTTAAAGGATAAAGAAATAAAGTCCTTCAGGGTTGGTTTTAAGTGTCTTCATTTTTGTTTTTCATTACCGTATTGATCCAATAAGAAAGGTAACTATCTCAATTCAGGCTATAAAAAAAATGGTTGCCTGTAAAGTCGGTTTTACGGGCGAAGATTTTACGTGACAACGTCTTTTTCTCGGTAGAATATTTATTGATATGAATATAATTAAATTGCACAATAGGAACAAGGAATTGAATGAAAATAAGAATTGCACAAATTTTAACTATAGAAATATATTTTGTTTACTAAAACATTGTACATGTAAACTTAAACTTAACACGAGAGACTCATCGTTACGTTACCGAGCGTTACACTTTTTCATAAGTGACTCCCAGCCGCAACCTAATTTAAGACGTTGTCACGTCAAAAATACAAACTATAAAGGCTTGAGTATCAAAAAAAAAAACATTTGTAATAGTATTATGATTGTGATAAAATCTTGGTGCTTTTTCTTGGAAAATACGTCTCCAAAACCATGTAGTGAAATGCTTATAATAGATAATAAAAAACAAAGTGATTTCTTACAAAAGGTTGGAAAGTATTTCAAGCTAAAATAAAATATAATCTACGAAATGAGAGTGTAAGGAAAACATAATAAAAACTAATATTCTATAGGAGGCTGTATGAATTAAGTTTCTGTTGGCTTTCTATTTGGAGAACAATAAAAAAGCTGGGCGTTTGACGGTTGTAATTTGGTTGGATATGACAGGACGAGACGCCTAAAACGTATTTTATTTACCTGCTACTTAATTTAATTATTTTGTGTTTGAAATTCTGGCACTTATTTTAGGCAGTCGAGCAGTAATATAAACACCTGACACAACGCAATCGTATCGTACAAAAAACAACAAACTGTGACTCCATCTAGCATCAGATGGTATTGGAATCGGATTGTACTCAAGATCTATAAACAAGAAAATAACAGTACAGAAGCGCATCGAAAACAGAATCATCGAGTCTGAGATATTGGTATGAAGAGGGAGTGATGCTAAAGTGCAGTGGCAGTGGTAGCAGGGGTCGGTGAGCGCGGCACGATACGGAAATGTCGAACGTGGAGAACGTATGCCCCCAGGTGCTGCGCGGCGTCGCACGCGAGCTGCGGCGGCTAGCGGAGCGCCCGCCCGCCGGCGTCAAGCTGGTGCTGCGCGACGACGACCTCACTGATGTCGTCGCTCACATCGATGGACCTGGTAAATAGTATTGTATTTACCAACTCACCATCCTGCATTGTTGTGTTCTTGCAGTTCAGGAGTATTAGTGATGCTAACTTAGGGCAATCATTGTCATTAAGCCTTAACAGACCTGCCTGCCTAGCATGACCATAGTGCAGCCACTATGACATAAATTGAAGGGGTGAGTGGACAAAGGTGTTAACTAACAAAAAGTTGAAAATGAGTTATGAGTAGAAAACATTCCACGCAGACCAGGCAGCAGACAGGACTCAAACCCGCGCCTATTCTTGTATTCTTAAACTGCAAGGCAGCACCATCTCCAATGTGAAGAGGGGGCGCTGCCTTGTCGCTTAAGCTAGAGGAATTTCAACATATATATAGCATAATTGATCAGTGTATTCGCCCGGACAGCGAAGGGTGCGGGTTCCAGTCCCGTCTGCTGCCTGGTCCGCATGGAATTTTATCTAGTTATTCTTTAAATTTAAACATAAAAATTATGAGTTATGAGTGTTTGAAAATGTTAAATAATAAAATCAATGTAGCTAACAGCTTAAAGTTTTATAGAAAACTTAAGTATTATTACTTTTGAAAATACTATTAATTTATAGATTGTATAGAAGAAAAGGTTGTTTTTATTATATTTATTAAAATATTTAAGGTGTTATCCTTTGCTTAATTTAATATAAATCATTAGATTACACTAACTTAAAAAGGTCTAATGTGAAAAACAAAAGCATAAACATAATTTACATGAAATAGCTTTATTTCAATTTTTTTTTACAAAATGGTAGATACAACAGCATAATATTGTTTAAAACTTCTAAATAACACCATTAAGAGAGACAGAAAGAGTCTCAATGGTATTTAGCTGTGTTTTTATATAAGCAATTTTTTCTATAGATAATTTACCGTTTTGATTATCACATGTTATAAAAATTTTGGGATAATACTTGATTTCTTTAATAGAGAGACACTTCTGGTAATAGTTTATTGGGATCATCGCTGGTCTTGTAAAAATAAGTACCATAATCTTTAACATGAATCCATTTAAAGTTGTTTTTCGTCTTAATTTATTTAAATTAAGTAGGTATAACTGTTCCCAAATCATATCTTATTATGAAGAAAACACAAAAATAATGGTTCTTATCTTCTACGATTGAATTATTTTTAGATGCCTTTATTGTATCAACAAACATACCACACAGCTTATAACACCCTTGCTTATTTTTATAACTTAAAATTGTGTTATTCTTGCGAAGATGCAAAAGACATATTGTATGATATCACCTTATATTATTCCAAGTCCAAACGTATCAGTGTAAATGATTTTTGATGTTGATTGAAAATGTATGTGTTCATACCACATTTGCAATCCAGCAATGTGTGCATGTTTGACAGTTAACACCTTTGTTAGGGTCTGTATTTTTGATGTGAATCTAAATTTCCGTGTTTTGAGCTCATTAAATGAATTTTCATCACTTGAAACCTATATTCTTGCAAATAAGTAGATTTTTGTGCAGTTTTGTCAGATAAACACCTTTATCCACTCACCCCTTACACACCCAATTATGTTTTGATATTTCTGAGTGCATCTGATTGTCACTGTCATTTGTCGGCATAGTGGGTTATGGCCTAATCTCCCTGTTCCATTCATAGGGAAAGCCTGTGCCCCAGCAGTGGGGACATTTATAGGCTGATGATGATGATGATATCTTAGAATGGGGTTGACCTCATATAATCAATACTAATTCATCAATACAATAATATTTTTCTTAGGATGTCCACATAGAGCACATTAATACTCTACAGCTTCTACCAATGAACTGATGGCAGTCATTAATAGTTTTAGCCACTCAGCACTAGAGGCGCCGTTTAGAGTTGAGGCTGGTCTGACATCTACCAGTCTTTACTTTCATATTGGAGGGAAAGAGAGAAATTATACTATAATATACATCTGAATGGACTGTGCATGTTCATTCTCTGTCTATGTTTGAACCTAATCCCATCTCACACCTCACATAGTTAAGAAACTTACTACAAGAAACTCAAGAATACTTTAACACAGTTTTATTGTACTGTATAACTGTCAATATCAAGTTGCGGGGGAGCTTGATGGTGCAAGTGGTTAGCATGTTTGTAAAGTTAACCCACTTGCTTAATGGTCAGTTGTGGGATGGGTGGCTAAAAATGTATCGTCTTGACTTGAACTCCTCCATACATTAAAAGGCACGTTAAACCGTTGGTTCTGATCGTATCTGCAGTTATTAGCATCCTTTGTTCGGGCATGGTGGCTCATGACCCATTCTCTATGCTATTCATAGGGAAAGTGTGCGCCTTAATAGTGGGAGGCATTGCAGGCTGATTCTCCCTCCCACATCTGCGCGACGAATGTTCAAGTGGCTTTTGTACTAAATTTGTTAAAATTAGCATTCGAAATTTGAATTAAGTAATTCTGTTGTAATGAATTAGCGTGCTGCTTGTCTATAGACCCTAGATCATGAACGGGCAAACTATGGTCCATGGGCTATTTCCGGCCTTCGAATGCGCGAAATCCGGCCGGCGACCAGTAAACAAAAATCAAATCGTATGACCCGAGTAAGTCCTCGGCCCGCCATAGATTCTGATAGTAAATTAAATATTGGCACGATAAAGAAAAACTTTGCCCGGCCCAGCGCTACGCGATAGCTCGACTGGTGATAATAATCTGACACGCTAAAAGAGGTCGCGGAAAACGATAAATTTGTATGCGCAGCTGAAGGAGCGCACTCAATTCAAAAGTTCGATCGCTATAATGCGATTCAACTAAGAATAGGACCGACTGGGCGCCATATTTTGACATCATAGCTGTCAATTCAAACCAAATATGTAGAGCTAGCAAAAAAATGTTGCTATTTAATGAAACTTTTTTACTAAGATTATGTGAGATAAAACATCAGATTTTTTAATTAAATTAATTTACTAAGGTTGAGAGAGAACACAACCGATTTTTAATAGTATTTCTTCATTAAGACTGTGAAAAAAAACATTTATCAGAATCTAGCTCTTCAATTTCGCTCAACTCTGCATTATCGCCGGAGAAGTTATGAATAATCATGCAGATCACAAACGAAAGTTTTAAATCGAGTTTTTTAACGCAACATAAAGTGACATTTGATCGACCATTAAGGTTCATAGCCAAAGCTCAATAAATGAAAAAAAAAATATAAACCAATATTAATTATCAATATTTGTAATTGCTTGTTTAAAAATGTTTCTTTTTTATTCTAGAATTAACCGAGTGCTAAAAAAAGTGTACCGAGGTTTTTTGTAAACCGTACTTTAAAAGCGAAATTTGACAGATGGAGGTCATCGGCTTTCCTATTCTCATTTGAATCGTATTATAATTAAGTACCGAAGCTCCGCGAAGGTTCTTCGCGCAGGAGCTCTACTCTCTTTCTCCGAAACGAAATTTCGGCAACGAACGAATTTTAAACGAAATTTCGCCAGTGACTCTACTCTATTTCATCTTCGAACACGCACATAAAGTTCGGAATCACAGACAATTATCGTGAACGAATGGAATGAGTTATGTTTGTGAGTTCTTTTCATCTACACTTGTTAGATAACGTCTTTTACTTCAAAACCATATTAGTTTATGACAACATTTTTGATTACATTAAAACAACCTCTTTTGACATTGTTAGCCGACTAATTTGTAGAGTTGATGCAATCGAATGTATGTCAACCTAAATTTGTCGTGTAACACTTTGAAGTATTGGCAATACAATAATAATCAAAAATTAGATTTATTTGTAAATCTTTCTTACTAAAAAATGTTTCTCACGCTAAGCAGCCTTAATTAAAAATACTCTAGTAGTAATTATAGGTTTAATTTAAACAAAAATCCCAAAACGAAAAGGTAACACTTTTCATTTCGTCAATTTGAGGTTAAAATTTCGAACAATTATCTGTCAAATTCAACTTTTAGTTTAAAAGTTTTGTGAATTAGAGTAGGCTTAGAGAATTTAAATGTCAAACTATTTTGGGACGAACGAATTTTCGAAACGAAATAGAAACAGAGTAGGAAACGTGCGAAATTTCGATTGAAATTTCGTTTTTCGTTGAAATAGAGTAGGCCTCCAGGTGCGGGACGGGAATCAGCCCTAACTAAGCACTCTGCTCGTCGTGTAGCGGACACTCCGTACGCGGGCGGCGTGTTCCGCGTGCGGCTGGTGCTGGGTCGCGAGTTCCCCTTGCAGCCGCCCCGCGCGTACTTCCTCACGCGCATATTCCATCCCAACGTGGCGCCCGCCACCGGCGAGGTGTGCGTCAACACCCTGAAGCGCGACTGGCGCCCGGAGCTGGGGCTGGAGCACGCGCTGCTGGCCGTCAAGTGCCTGCTGATCGCGCCCAACCCCGAGTCGGCGCTCAACGCGGACGCGGCGGCGCTGCTGCGCGACCACTACGACCTGTACTTCGCGCGCGCCAAGCTGCTCGCCGACATACACGCGCGACCGCACGCGACCAAACCGGACAAGGCCGGGAACCACCCGCAGGTAACTCGACTGGCGCGACCGCTGCGACCTGTGCTTCGCGCGCGCCGAGTTGCTCGCCGACATACACGCGCGACCGCACGCGACCAAACCGGACAAGGCCGGGAACCACCCGCAGGTAACTCGACTGGCGCGACCGCTGCGACCTGTGCTTCGCGCGCGCCGAGCTGCTCGCCGACATACACGCGCGACCGCACGCGACCAAACCGGACAAGGCCGGGAACCACCCGCAGGTAACTCGACTGGCGCGACCGCTGCGACCTGTGCTTCGCGCGCGCCGAGCTGCTCGCCGACATACACGCGCGACCGCACGCGACCAAACCGGACAAGGCCGGGAACCACCCGCAGGTAACTCGACTGGCGCGACCGCTGCGACCTGTGCTTCGCGCGCGCCGAGCTGCTCGCCGACATACACGCGCGACCGCACGCGACCAAACCGGACAAGGCCGGGAACCACCCGCAGGTAACTCGACTGGCGCGACCGCTGCGACCTGTGCTTCGCGCGCGCCGAGCTGCTCGCCGACATACACGCGCGACCGCACGCGACCAAACCGGACAAGGCCGGGAACCACCCGCAGGTAACTCGACTGGCGCGACCGCTGCGACCTGTGCTTCGCGCGCGCCGAGCTGCTCGCCGACATACACGCGCGACCGCACGCGACCAAACCGGACAAGGCCGGGAACCACCCGCAGGTCACTCGACTACCTTGTATCATCTTTTTGGAGTTTACTCCTTAAGAATCTATTTGTTTACTCCTTAAGTGCGCATCCTATGTCGCGCAACTTTCTGATTTGGTTGTGAGTGTAAGGTAAAGGGACACGCGCATAGGGTATACTGCAAAGCGACAATACCTATATGTTATTGGGTTTGTTTATTATATATGTATATTATTTTCATTAATTTACCCTTTCATACAGTATCAATCTTTTTTAAGTTAAATAAACTCTTTTTGCGTCTGGTTAGACTATCGAACTTAAGGAGTAAACTCCAGTCGTGCGTCGGAGTTGACACACACAATTTTGTTTTTTATAGGTAGGTCCGACAAATGACTCCACCACACCTGATGTTAAGTGAAGGTGAAGTCCAGATGCGAAGATAGCTGATACAGCAGTTCTACCTGCCACACCAGCCATCCTCACCCTGCCGGCCTGCATATTGCTACTTCCCGCCTCTTTTAAAAGATCCTAAATTGTAAGAGGGAGGGAACAAGTGAGCGGGCAGAGTAGAGACTTTATATTTCAGTTTATTAAGATAGTTGTGGCGCAAATACATTTGGTCGTTAGTCCATATTCTGTTGCACGAAAAACAATTCGAATTCGGGCACAGCACAGCAATGATTACATTGTTTTCGGGTACTGGAACATGGACAAGCAGCGTTCCCTAGTTCTATTTATAACAATGCTAGGAATACGGGCGTACTCCGTTCGTTTACACTTAGCACCTTGCGCAATAGACGGCCAAGTTAAGGGCCAGTGGCCGCTCCGACCAGATTTACTAACGAAAAAATACGCACGACGGACACTTGGCCGCAACAGCCAACTCTACTTAGTCTAGTCGTTGCGACTACTGGCCGTAGTCGTGACCGTCTAGTGCGCGAGGTGCTTTAGTCGTTTGTCCGAATTCCATAGGTACACGTATTCGGGGTAACGACAAAATGTAATCGCGCTATAAGATAGATGAAGATCTTTCATGCCACACTATTACTAAGATTTTCTTTGTCGCGATATGTCTGGTCGAGATATTCATTCTATTGCGAATATTTGTCAACGTCTTCCCGTCGGTGACTGCGACAAGTTTATGCACTATTTTAAATTTCCGAGATTTCTCCCTCCCTGCGCTTACGTCACTTGTCCCTAGGGGTGTGTTCAATACCTACGCTCTTTGTGCAATTCTTTACCCCGACCGACGTTTCGATTTTGACATGAATTGTATGAAGCTAACGACAACTTTGGCATATATTGCACTTAGAGTGTAGGTTTTGAACGCAGCCCTGGGGCCGCAACACGAGTGACGTCATTGCGATGATGATGATATTCGCCTGCATTCTTAAATAATGTGCGATAATGCAAAGTTTAAACTTAATTCTGTTAGCCATTTTTAAAGATACAAAAATGTTGTTTGTAGATTTTGGCATTTTTAGGAAATAACGTTTGCCATCTCCGCTGCGCATTAAAGGTTCGTTACGCGATGCTGCAATTAGTCCAGTCAATGAAGGCTTAACTTTGCCATTTTGAGTTGATCACCTGCAACCAACGCGAAAATTTCCGCAAGGGTTCGTAGATTAATATACTAAAATTGCAGGGTGCTGCATTGACGGCAAAGGGTGAAAAAAAAATGCGAAATGGCGCAAAAACGAGTTTTTCGTCAATATCTCGCGACTGGCTGGAAAAATAGAAAAAGTTTGCAGCACAAAGTTGTAGAAAATTTAATTTCCTACAAAAAAGGTATCAACTTATTTTCGTGTATCTCCCATAGTTTTTACACAAAATGCAATTAAAGGTGCAAGATAAAAAAAGAAAAAATATTGTTTATGGTTTTTTTTTCCATTTTTAAACGATCCTACGGGGCAAATTCAACAATCACCAATTACTGAAATATTTAAGGATGAGTTTTCGGCAGTCCACTGAAATGAAAATTGTCTACCGAAATGGTAAAAAATTACCACCGAAATGATACACCCAAGAACATCGCCTTTGTAGTAGAAGGGTTCCCTATTTTGAATTTAAATAAATGTCTTTATTCTTTGTAAATATTTTTTTTCATTATTTTTAATAAGAATTATTAATGAAGAATTAATTAATTGTTACTCCTATTAAACATTATTACTAATTATAATTATTAATATGTACATTTTCAAAATAACGAACAAAGCGCGTTTAGAAAGCGAAAAGGTAAAACCCATTATGCTCTACGACGCATACTTCCTGAAATAGCTAATAAAAAATGGGTGCGTGTACTTATGTAGGCGCGTAAGAAGTTATCCTTCTTTCGCATCGTTTAAAATTAGTTTTTAATTGCATGCAAATAATTAATTACAATAAATTAATAAAAAGTCTGGAAAAGGACACAGTCAATAAAGTTCAGTTTTAATTTGAAAAAATAAATAAATAATCAAAATATTCCATTAAAATCGCTACTGAATATAATTTATTAGAACATAATGTGATTTGCACTTGTATTTCATACAAACTCAAACACGTATTCCGAATATACAAACTAGAAACATGTGAATAAATATTATAAATATGAATACCTATAACTGTTACTTTATTACAAAAAATAAAGATGTGGTTTTTGGTTCTACTACACCAATGGTCAAGAGATGGCGCTGTAGTCTCCTGAATCGCGCTTTGGTTCCGTTGTTCCAGATTAATAAATACTTTTGATATTATAAATATGAATACCTATAACTGTTACTTTATTACAAAAAATAAAGATGTGGTTTTTGGTTCTACTACACCAATGGTCAAGAGATGGCGCTGTAGCCTCCTGAATCGCGCTTTGGTTCCGTTGTTCCAGATTAATAAATACTTTTGATAGGCCTTCACAATGCAGTCGTTAGCACCCACTAAATGGAGATTCTATTTCTATTTTGTTGGTAGATTTTCTTAATGTGCGGTAAACACAAAAGTAACAGCATGAAGTTGGTCGCTAAACTTCCAACGACCAACTTCATGCTGTTAAAATTTTGTGTTACAGTGATGCGCGCGCATCTTAAAATTTCACTCTCATCATATTTTCATAACGCGCCTAAAGAAGTATAACTTCAATAAACAAAATAACTGGAAATTATTTCCAAAAATCTTGATTTAAACCCTAATAAACCCATTCAAAACACTTAAATTTGTAAACGTATTAATTGTTGAAACCAAGTTTCGGATTTAAACTCATTTTTCATGTAGTATTTCAGTGTCTACACACTGAGAGTAAATATCCTGTGAGATTATTCCACTAAAATAAGTTATCCCACGGTAATTAGCTTTGACTGTTTGAATTTTACCAGATATTTTAATTTTACTAGATGAAGTAAAAACTAAAAAACCTGTCGCTTTTTGAAAAAAAAAATATATATAGAATATTTGCGTTATATTTGAGGCAAGTAAAAGAAGATACCGAATTTTAATTTGTTTTTACTGAATAACTTTTATTTGACGCTTTATAAATTACTTCAGCTAAAATCGATTACACAGAAAAACAAAATCATACTTTTTTTTTGTTGCATGAGGTTTTTCTACTGTTGTTTACTAATTTGGGTGCGCTGATTTCAAATCTACCCTCAGATTTTTTATAGCAGACAAGAGCTGCTGAGATACAGGTACCGTCTTGAATTTACATAAGTAGTCGATAGTTTTTATCAATAGCGGTGTAACTTAACTAGTTCCTTTATAAATTTCATTATGTCTTCCTCAAGAAGGACGTGTTTAAATAATCATGATTATTTTTGTGTTATTTGTGGAGAATATATGTTCAAAAAATTTCGTTTAAATGTGTCGGACTTTGTGAAAAAGGCATACTTCGACTACTTTGGGTTTCCGTAGCCGTCAAACGCTAAACCTTGGATACCAAGTTTGGTATATAAAAGTTGTGTTGAATCTTTGCGACTGTGGGCAAACAAAAAAAGACCCACTTTTAAGTACAAAGCTCCTATGATTTGGCGTGAACCATCCAACGACTGTTATTTCTGTGTAACGAAAATCATAGGAATAAACCATAAAAATTGCTCTAAGTGGATATATCCAAAGGTAAAATCTGCCATAAGACCAGTCTTGAGTATTAGTGACACATCAACACCACAGCAGCCATGTACATCTTCAGAAAATCCAGACCAGTGCAACGGACAAACCGAAAAAGACGGCAGTAGTAGTGACAGTGATTTTGCTACGGTAGTCCCCGACCACTAAATCAAGATGATCTAAATGACTTGATCAGGGACCTTGGACTGTCTAAAACGGCATCAGAAATATTAGCTTCCCGATTGAAAGAAAGAAATTTGTTGACCAGAGAAACGAAGATATCGTACTATCGTAACAGGGAAAAGGATTTACTTCCTTTCTTTACTAAAAAAGATAATTTTGTGTTTTGTACTGATATTCCGGGCCTAATGACTGCAATGGGATTAAAAAAGTATAATCCAAATCAGTGGCGGTTGTTTATTGATTCGTCAAAACGAAGTTTGAAATGTGTACTTTTACATAATGATAACAAGTTTGGTTCCTTACCTATTGCTCATTCTACAAAGGTTAAAGAAGAATATCCTACAATATCTTTAGTTCTCGACAAAATCAAGATGATCGATATTAAAAATTTCATCAACCATATGACAGCTGTCGAGAAATGTGCATGGGAAGAGTTTGTTTGGGTAGCCAGATTTTTTTTGGGCAATAGGAAATCTGACGGCTACATTCAGCACGTTGAACGGTGCTGATACACTTCCAGCGTCTTGAATGCAACATGAGTATTAAGCTTCACTACCTTCACAACCATCTAGACTATTTTCCTGAAAATCTCGGTGACCTAAGCGAGGAACAAGGAGAGCGATTTCACCAGGATATTCGCACTATGGAGGAGAGGTATCAGGGTATTGGAATGAACATATGATGGCTGATTATTGTTGGAGCATCCAAAACAGTACTTATAATACACCTCACTCTAGAAAATCCAAAAAAAGGAAATTTTATTGAGAATAAATATATTTAATATTTTTTTTAAACTTTAACTATGTGAATTTTCAATGGAAAACCCTGTCACTTGGTAGCTCCAAAACTAGAGCTGCTACATAAAAACGACATATATTTTTGAAATCAGCGTGGAAAAACTATTCAGATTCATGTAAAAAATTTCATGCAACAGACATGCTGTTTTCCAGTGTTATCAGTGTTTACTCTTTTCTTCCACTGTAATTTATTAGCGTTAGTCATCGTTACTTTAAAATTTATGCTTCAGCTAAAACCAGTTATCCATGTTTAACCGTCTCTTCCGTACACAGATCGTGCGCACAGATCGAGCAACTCACTCGCTAGGAGTGCTTAATTATTATTAATTTGATTAATGATAATACATATTGCAAATATATGTTTTAAACGTAAATTTTGCGCTGAACACGATGAAAGAAAAAGAAATGGTAAAATTAAATTATCATATAATAAAATTAAATATATTTTTTTTAACTATATTTTTCGTCATCTTTCTTAGTAGCCATCATTTTAAACTAAATACTCAGAATAGTTCACCCAGTAATGTTTATTAGTGATTAATTAAACAAAAGAATAACAGTGTTGCCCAGCGCGCGATTCAACAATGAATGAATAAAAGTGAGCAACTCACACCTAGCGAGTGAGTTGCTCGATCTGTGCGCACGATCTGTGTACGGAAGAGACGGTTAAACATGGATAACTGGTTTTAGCTGAAGCATAAATTTTAAAGTAATGATGACTAACGCTAATAAATTACAGTGGAAGAAAAGACTAAACACTGATAATCGATTTTAGCTGAAGTAATTTATAAAGCGTCAAATAAAAGTTACTCAGTAAAAACAAATTAAGATTCGGTATCTTCTTTTACTTGCCTCAAATATAACGCAAATATTCTATATATATTTTTTTTCAAAAAGCGACAGGTTTTTTAGTTTTTACTTCATCTAGTAAAATTAAAATATCTGGTAAAATTCAAACAGTCAAAGCTAATTACCGTGGGATAACTTATTTTAGTGGAATAATCTCACAGGATATTTACTCTCAGTGTCTACATGAAAAATGAGTTTAAATCCGAAACTTGGTTTCAACAATTAATACGTTTACAAATTTAAGTGTTTTGAATGGGTTTATTAGGGTTTAAATCAAGAATTTTGGAAATAATTTGCAGTTATTTTGTTTATTTATTAGCTATTTCAGGCAGTATGCGTCGTAGAGCATAATGGGTTTTACCTTTTCGCTTTCTAAACGCGCTTTGTTCGTTATTTTGAAAATGTACATATTAATAATTATAATTAGTAATAATATTTAATAGGAGTAACAATTAATTAATTCTTCATTAATAATTCTTATTAAAAATAATGAAAAAAAATATTTACAAAGAATAAAGACATTTATTTAAATTCAAAATAGGGAACCCTTCTACTACAAAGGCGATGTTCTTGGGTGTATCATTTCGGTGGTAATTTTTTACCATTTCGGTAGACAATTTTCATTTCAGTGGACTGCCGAAAACTCATCCTTAAATATTTCAGTAATTGGTGATTGTTGAATTTGCCCCGTAGGATTGTTTAAAAATGAAAAAAAAAACCATAAACAATATTTTTTCTTTTTTTATTTTGCACCTTTAATTGCATTTTGTGTAAAAACTATGGGAGATACGCGAAAATAAGTTGTTACCTTTTTTGTAGGAAATTAAATTTTCTACAACTTTGTGCTGCAAACTTTTTCTATTTTTCCAGCCAGTCGCGAGATATTGACGAAAAACTCGTTTTTGCACCATTTCGCATTTTTTTTTCACCCTTTGCCGTCAATGCAGCACCCTGCAATTTTAGTATATTAATCTACGAACCCTTGCGGAATTTTTGCGTTGGTTGCAGGTGATCAACTCAAAATGGCAAAGTTAAGCCTTCATTGACTGGACTAAATGCGAAAGACATGGCGGCACTTTTTCAAATAAAATAGAAAAACCAAAAAATTACGGTTTCTAGTATGAGAAGACTCCTAGCTTTCGGTTTTTCCTCGATATAGGGGAGAGGTAGGATTTCACGAAAATGCAATGCGGAGAAAGTGGTTGCTGCAGCGATTAAAGGTCGCCTTCCACGTAGCTGAATTTGGCGTTTCAATTTCTACTGATTGAATACGCATACAAGTAACATTTAATTTTTATTTCATCAAAACTGGTGTACTCTATCAAAAGTTATTACTATTTAAAGCAACGCAGACCTAACGAAATCTCTTTTCATAGAAAATTTAACATCGGTAGTGATAAATAGACGGAGTTGATTAATTTCTACATTGCGACAGATTTACAAACACTTTGGGTTTTTTGTTTAAGTAGTTTCAAGAACCTGGGATAGCCCCAAATAAAAATTAAATGTACGTAGAAATAAATCAGCTCCGTGAATCGATCTGGGAGTCTTATCATACTAGGTTTAGTTTCGTGGGTTCTTAGACTATAACGTATTGTAAGAAAATAATGGATAAAAACCAATTTTGTGGAAAATCCCCTAAGAGCCAAACAAAAAAAAACTTCATGCCTAAACGATCCCGATGTTTACAGCTTTCATCTTTTTTTATTTGGCCAGTGCGCTCTGTTGAAGATCCAAGTCGAAGGGTTACTAAGAATAAGGAAGAAGGTTTATTGCGTTGTCGGAACACGAATTTTCGCGCGATAATGGTGACCGGAGCATAACTGTTATTTTTCCATTAAAATTTTGACTATTACTATGACAACTTTATGGCTTATCAAATTTATAATCAATTTATAATCTACTTTGACATGCATGTAACAATAGACAATTTCAAATTATATTCTTAAACTGTGATTCCAATGTTAAAATAAATAGTACTTCTTTCATAGGTCCATATCTATTTGTATACCTTAATTAAGGTGGAAATGTAGTGATACTAACAAAAAAATTATGATTCTGATTCTGATAACTGTGTGAACACGAGCTTATTTTTAATATTTAGTATGGCTTTCAGGAAGGAGCTGCGGACAGCGCAGGAGGCGTCGCGCACTCAGAGGACGGGCCCTGCGCCAAACGAGAGAGGCGACCCGCCGCCGCGGGGACCGGGTCGGGGGCGGGGTCCGGGACGGGGACGGAGATGGGGACGGGCCCGGGGACGGGGTCGGGCCCGGGGACGGGGACGGGGTCGGGGCCGGGGACAGGGTCGGCGGCAGCCCCGCGGCCCGCAACAGCCAAAGACAAGGATCGCCGCCGCATCCTCAAACGATTATGAGCGACCACCGCCACCCGCTTCGCTGTTAGGTTATATCGTGTGTCAGTCCGTTATTATGTTCATTAAACCTATCATTTCGACTGATGTGTTTCATTCTTGTGAGAGTTGGTGCCGCAACGCACGAGCCGCGAACCGCGGTGGATGGCGGGAGTGCGGATGTTGATTTGTATAATCATTTATGTGCGACAATGCACTGGCAGGGTACCTGGCGCCCACACAGGGAGCGGGCGCGGGGCACGCGGCAATTTGTACAGACTTGGAGAGAGACCGCATGACACCTCAAGTTCGGGCGGTTTTTTGTATTAAACTTTTTTTTTTCGGGAAACTAATAATACTGCTAGCAACAAACCGCGGTTTTCGTAAGAGCATCCGCGCTTCCATGCAGCACCGCACCACCGCTCCTCTCTCATCAGGCGCGGGTCGCGGCTCGTGCGTTTTTCACCATAGGTATCAGACGGATAATGGTACCGGCACAGAAGACAGTCGTTTACAAGAATAGGGATCTGTCATTCACCTAACAAAGGAGATTTGTGTACGAAGGTCTGTCTTCTAGCGGAATAACTGCTACTGGTCCACTACGTCGAAAAAACCCGCAATCATTTTTTTATATACGCTCCAACCGTATTGTTTCTCTTCAAACATCCGTTACGTGGATAGCTGCTTCGTGAGAGGATCATAGCTGTAGATCCAAGATTCGGCAGTTGTAAGGTTGAAAGATAAGTTATGCGAAGTGCATCCTTCCAACTTTTCCAGGCACCCGAAGCAATATTTACACTGGAATATGAGCTGGAAGACGGTGTCGGTTAACCAAAACGAAAATTACACGAATACATGTGTATTCGATTCCGTTCATTTACACTTCATTCACCGTTGGTTCCGGCTGCATCTGTAGTCGTTAGTACCCATCCATACTGACTGGGCCCGCGTGGTGTGGGGGTCACGGCCCAGTCTCTCTTATTCCTTTCATAGGGAAGGCGTGTGCCCCAGCCACAGAACACAGAAAGGGGTTAGAAATGCTCATAACTTGACCAACACTTACCATATTCTTAGTCGTTTCCTTGAGATTTTTTCCACTCGACTCAACCTCATTCGAGGAAATTCGTATGCTCAGACAACAAAAATATCCTTCACTAGAGATATACCTCACTCGAGTGGAGGTCGAGTCGAGGAATAAACTGTCAAACTCAAGGTAGCTCTCGACGTACCTTAAGGCTTCCTCTAGTGGTGTTTAAGGTGTTTTCAAGTTGTTTTTTGGGATTTTGAATTTTGAAATTAATGACGAATTGGTGGATTTTATGGATTACGTATACGATCCGCAAATCCTTTTGAGGTTTACGACAATGATTCGTTAAAAAGAAGATTTTGGTTTAGAGAGATACATTCATACAAGTAATATTTCCTCTGCTAAGCATTACACTAAATTGTAATAACAGAGGACTACCTGTACCGCCTTTAATACGTTTACTGGTAGTTTTGAAGTTATACGTGACAGGATTATTTCAAGTAGGTATTTACCTGTTTGTTGTGTGATATTTTATAGCACAGTGTGACCTAAACCCGCAATTTACGCACGCTTTTCCGTGACCTAAGTTGCCTATTTCTGCACGGTGTGTAAATGAATTGACCAACTTCACTCATGTAGAAAAAATAAAAGGAAACACATTTAAATGTCATTTGGAGCTTAAAAACTCACAGCAAACAAATGACAAATTAGCTAGCAAGATAGGTTAGGAATTTTCAGTGACAGCCAAAACAAGGAGAAACGGTTAGCTATAATTCATTCCGCGAGAATTGTATCTTTTGGTCGAAAATGGCCAGTTCGGATAGTGACCTAAGCGAATACGAGAACGGTGAAATTCTGAATTCTTGTTTGAATTATACGAGTACAAAAAATAAAGCTCATTCCCGTTGTTTAATATATTGTTATGTCAATCAAGGAATAAACGTTCATGGATACATTGAAATTCTATTTTGTTGTAATGATATTTGATTTTTTCCTTTTGAAATATACTTTCAAAATGGTAATCTGAACCGGAATTCTTTCTTTTCAGAGTTTGACTTGCAGTCTGTATTGCAATTCTTTGTGATTGCAATACATGAATTTTACTTTCAAAACACAACCCCCCCCCCCCCCTCCCCCCCCTCTTGCCCGCGTCCGGGGCGGGTTTATGTCACACTTGCTATAAAATAGTATACGATACTTGTGGCCTAAGTTGTCTATTACTGCACGGCGTTTAGCACAGTACTTATTATTATTACTGTACACATATAATATGTCTATGCTTTTATGCTTAATACCTTTGTACTCTCAGTGGAGGAATTCTCAAGTTTGTTCAAGATACCAACTAGAATATCATTTTCGAGGTTATTTGGAGGAACTCCTTAAGGAGCCCTCGAATGAGTTAGAGTCGAGGAACGTTTGAGGACGCGACTAAGAATATGGGTGTTCTGATTGCGTCTGAATGCTCTCGGGTGTGAGCGCCGATTGGTTCGATTGTTTGATGTCGCGTCGTTTGATTGGGTATTATCTGTTAGGTGAAAGTGTAGTCTATGATCACCCTTCTTACCTCTTTCTGTGTTCTGTGGCACCAGCAGTGGGGACATTAATAGGCTGGTGATGATGATGATGTTAAGTGCCAGCAAATAGCCTTGATTTTGATCGTTTCCAGGGAAGTGATGCATGTTGTAGCGGCCGTGCTTCAGGTTGCACAGCAGCTAACGTCTTAGCCTTACCATACTTGATTCATCAAGTACCTTACCATCCGTGAGGGCCGCGGTAGCATAATTGGTCAGTGCATTCGCCCGGATTGCGTAGGGGGCGGGTTCGAGTCCCGTCTGCTGCCTGGTCCGCGTGGAATTTTTTCTAGTTATATTTTCTTTAGATTTAAACATCAAGCAGTTACATGCTTTAAAAATAATAAAAATTATAACCATACTTGATTGGTTAAAGGATGAGTTGAAATCGCTTCAAAGAATAATAAATCTAGTCAACAAGAAAATATAAAAATATATTTTTACAAATCAACTTACAAACAACATGTTTCATATTATTTACATTTTTTTCTAAACTATATGTAAATTGTATTGTGTTGTGGGAATTCTAAACTTATCGTTAATACAGTGACGGGGGATAATGATTAAAGGCACCTCCCTCTTAGCACAAAACTGTCAAGTATTTTGACATTTCTTTAAGTATTAAACTCAGATTTTTGTAACTAAAGTTATTTATCTTAATACAAATAAATTGTGGGTTACCTACAATGCGAAGAGATGGCGCTGCCTTGCAGCTTAAGGCTAGGAAAATTTCGACGCGGCGAATAGGGCCGTGGTAGCATAATGGTCAGTGCATTCGCACGGATTGCGAAGGGTGCGGGTTCGAGTCCCGTCCGCTGCCTGGTCTGCGTGGATTTTTTACTAGTAAACTTTTCTTTAGATTTAAACATCTAGCAGTTAAATGCTTAAAAATAAATAAAAACATAACAAATAAATCAATTAAGTTCAGCAGCGCTATTCTGTGAAAGCAACTTTACTTTTCACCGCGAATTCCGAGGTAAAAAGTGAGGTTGTTCTTACGGAATAGCACTGCAGGTATCAGACTGGAATCGAACCAATGTCCTTCGCTATCTGGGCGAACGAATACACTGACCATTCCGCTACCGAGACCTCAACGGTCGTAGCAAATCTCTTGTTGTTTATTATGGTAGCCATACATACACACTACGAGAAATCGTTACGATCAGACTGTACAGTTCGAATGAAACAGTTTATCGTACGTGGCGTACGTATAGAAAACTGTGCAGTTTTATAACATACACGCTACGATTTATCGGTACCGTTCGAACGGTACAGTCTAATCGTAACGATTTCTCGTAGTGTGTATGACCACCATTAGGGATAATATCCTGACTGCACGGGAGCGCCACATTTTTTCATTGTAGATAAATACAATGGTACAGTATGTTTTTAAAATTAATGGAAAAAACTGAAGAATGAGCTCTTTATTTATTAGGATTCCAAATACATTTTTATTAGATTTCTTAAAAATCTGAGTTTATCGATACCAAATTTCCTTTATCCTATCACTCCTTATCACCTTGGGTTTCTCTATTCATATTGTCTCTAACGGCGAGTTTCAATAATCAAGGCCTCTGCCTCGATTTATCCGGGCAGCGGGGCGGCGGGGGCGGGGGCTGCGCGGGAGCACCGCGGGCAACAGACCTGTGGGCCAATCGCCTAACCAGATTGCTTTGGAAAACGCTATCGCTTACGATTTCATTTTGTTATTTCTAGCCGCCTGAGATTTTCAAATGCCTCGCGCTCTTTTTTTTCTCTTGCATTGGTAATAACAATATTTAAAAAAATGAGCGTGAGGTATTTGAAAACCCTCGGCGGTCAGAAATAACAAAATAAAATCGAAAGCCTTAAAAATCATAAAAAATCCCCTTAGCCGATTGGCCACCCGTTCTCGAAACCAACGGGCAGATCGCGCGGCACTCTAGCGGTGTAGTGTTGTGTACTCAAGATAGGTATTTTGTTCGCAAACGAGGTGTCTGAACAACGGCGACATCTTTTTGACTCAAACTTATATTTAACGTTCGATTTAATTCAATCGCATTAATTAATAAATTACAATATTCGCATTAATAATCTAAAATTAACGCAATTGTCTACGAAATATTCTTAAAAAGAAATCGTATTTTGTTATTGTATAAATTAAAATACTATAAAAAACTTACATAAAACTAATCTACAATCATCAAAAAATTTAAAAATGTATATTTTTATATAGTCACCTCATTAAAAATTAATAGGTAGGTATATGACCCAAAACATCATCCGTAAATCGATAATCCGAGGACATTTCGAAACGTCACAAAAATAAATTGCACAACACTCAATGCTGATCGACTGGTAGGGGTGAGCGTTTTTAGAATAACGATGCGCGATATCGATGCCAGGGGGCCAATCGCCTAACTGGATTGCTTTGGAAAACGCTATCGCTTACGATTTCATTTTGTTATTTCTAGCCCCCTGAGGTTTTCAAATGCCTCGCGCTCTTTTTTTTTCTTTTGCATTGGTAATAACAATGTTAAAGAAAATGAGCGTGAGGTATTTCGGCGGTTAGAAATAACAAAATGAAATCGTAAGCGATAGCGTTTTCCAAAGCAATCCAGTCAGGCGATTGGCCCCCAGGTTTGGATGCGCGCACCCGATGCGACTGGATGCCGTTATTGGATGCCGATGCCATCTAGTTTTTGTCAACGTTACTATAGTAACAGTGCCACAAACTCATCAGTGCCGGTGAAGATGTCGCTAGCGGTGAACAACAATGCCACAAATCTATGGATAAATTGTAGTTCAAAATTTTGCCACCGGCACTGAAAAGTTTGTGATACTACGATACTGACATTCACTTGGCATCGATGCGATGCCGACATCGGTGCGCAGATCCGATCCGATTTAACTGATACCGATGCGCATCGATTTCACAAATATCTAAAAACGCCTAACTCTACCGACTGGTGAGTGGAAAACACGCTCGTCGCCCGCTCCCGCCCCGCTCCCGCCCCGCTGTCGTCCCGCAGCTGCGTCGATGTTTTCGAGGGCCGCGCGCCGCCGGTCCATTTGATTGTAGGTACATAACTCTGCCGCTCCCGCGCCGCCGCCGCCGGCGCCACCGCCCCGTTGCCCGCCAAATTCAAGGCAGAGGCTTAAAAAAGGCAAGGATGATCCTGTTCCGTTTCTTGGCAACGGCTGTTATTATAGTCTTAATCTATGATGTTTTACATTTATAGATACATCATACACGCTTCTTATTTGGCAATACGAAAGTCAGCCCGATTGCCCGATTTGCATTCAGTCGGGCACGCTCTCTCGCCACGACTACATTTCGCTACGAGCGTTTTCCATTTAGAAAAAAAAACACTTTTACCAATGAAAATTATTGAAGTTACCAAGCTTTAGTTGGCATTAGGTTTTTGCTATAGTATCGTCGACACAGTGCAACACAGTGTCGACTTTTTTTTCTAAATGGAAAACGCTCTACGTGTGTAAATATTTAACGTTTATCGAGACAAAAAGCCCTGTGTGTTTTTTTATATAATACACAAATTACACGGGAACTATTAGAGATACGAAAAACGTAGCATTTCCGTCGTAAGTACAGTTTTAAAGAAATTAATTTAAAAAAATATTATGACAGTTGCTGACATCGGTGACAGGTGGAGGTTAAAAAGCGAGATGTAATCTGCTTTATGCATGAGAGTGAAAGAGACTAATGCGATCAATTGGCGGCTGTTGCCAAGTTGGGGCGGGGACTAGTTGTGTCATTTCAAAATGCAATAATGTAGGCATATAACCTGTCTATTTATTATACGTCATTGGTCTTAATAATAAAAATATTTTACCGTTTACTGGAGTTTGATTTTTGAAACTGGCCGCAAGCAATAAAAACTCCTTAGTTACGATTTTTATCAGATCTAATAAATTAAAGATAAACTTATATCTTTTATTTTTTTGTTCTTAAAGTTACAAGTAGGTAGCATTGCTTCACAACTTCGGTTGACTTTCTCTCTTTCTATATGAAATTAAAATTAATAGTACTTAATATAACTCGTTTTTTGGGCCAGTTGTTATTATAATGTCAGTTATCTGATTCTGCCTATGAGGTATCGGTTGCAGATTTGTTTGTAAAATTTTCTTATTCAAGACCGTCTGTAAAACCAAAATTTGTAATTATGAAGAATCTATTACTTAACTTGATGACTTAAAATATTAGCATGATGGTATAATTAATATTATAAATGTGTTCGGTTCCTGAGGTTTATCTAAAAACTAAAGTTAACGCGGACAAAGTCGTGGTCGTCCGCTAGTATTTAATTAATGGCACTGTTCTGATATTTCAGTCAAATATTATATTTAGGTAGTTGTATGTGTTATTTTGTTATCTCGTGATGTTCGTTTCATAATAATAAACTGTATAATAATATCTACATTCAGTCTGTAAAAAGTGACCGAAAATTACAATAGTTTTCGTGTAACGCACCGAAACGCTTTTCGTAACGCACTCGCGCACAAACACATTATCCTGAAATACATATCGCGCCGTTCTTCTCATACATCGATCGCATCGGAGACTCGCTCGATCGGACCGTCCCCTATCGTCTAACTTCTAAACTCATCACGACAGACACCTTACAATCTGACATCCGAAAGCGTTCTCCAACTACGAAACTCGTCCTCGATCGCGAGCATCATTAGTATTACATACAATATTCTCTCGGACCTATTTAAACGTCAAATTGGAAGGTTTTCACCATCTCAATATTTGCAGTCGGACAATTACCTAATCGTTCGGTTAAACTTCGGCTCACCGCGAAACCTGCAAGAGGCGATCGCTAATGCGAAGGCATCGAGGGCGTTCCCGATGGCGTCGGGACGGCCGGAGGGTCTCCGGCGACGCACCCTGCGGACGCGTCACAGGCGCCATAAGGACGTCGAGTCGCGGAAACGGCCTTTGCAAAGAAGAGAACGATGGTGAGATGCGATCAAGTGATGTGGCTCAGTGAGCAGGAGGCCCTCGGTGCGGTCGCGCGGTGAGCTATGGATCGGTGTCGGTGGCGCTACACCTTGTCGTGCAGCGGCAGCGCCTCGTCGCGCGCGCAGGGCTCGCGCGCGGGGTCCCTCAGGGTCGCGGAGACGGGTGGCGCGGGTCGCGGGCGCAACACGAAGCGATGCAGGAGCGCCGCCAGCGCTGCGCCGCCCAGCGGACCCACCCAGTATACCTGCGGGTCAATTATGCTTTAGTCATATAATCCTAATATGATGTCAATGTGATGTTGATGCCAAGTTGACATTGTTTTTAAATGGTATTATGAAAAATTCCTATGTCACATCAAGATCATATCAATATCATATCCTGTATCACTTTTTTGACATTTATGCGATACTGTTTTAAGTCAAAAAGTTGAACGTAATACGCATTTAAGTTGATATCATTTTAAAGAGTTGATCATAATACGCATAAGTTGATGTCTAGTTGATGTCATTTTGATATCGTATTTTTCGGAGAGCATAATACGTAATGTGAAATTGACATCAAAACAATATCACAATTGGCGAGCATAATTGGCCTGCTGTGCACGCGAACCGAGTTTATTATTCTCAATGAGGGCTATCGCGTATGAATCCGCCGCTAGAGGCGCTAGTGTAGCGTGAGGTCTCCGAACTGTCAAATGTTATCGCCTGTTGGTCGACTACGCGGGTTTATCTCCAACTAGCTGTGCCCCGCGGTGTTACCCGCGGTTCATGAGGGATATTTTCCCGCAGTAAAACGTAGCCTATGTGTTAATCCAGGATGTCGGCTAACTCCATACCAAATTTTATTGAAATCGCTCCAGCCGTTTAGACGTGAAGAAGTAACGAACATGCACACTCGCAAACTTTCGCCTTTATAATATTAGTGTGATTAAAATAATGTTGTGAATATTTGGTAATGGCTCGGCTTAATTATGGCAAATATGAGTTACGTGGCAATGAATGTCGGTTATTTAAAAGCGGAACTAAGAAAAATTATTATGTCCTCCTTTTTTCTGAACAAAACGGAACTGCGCATCACTGTGGCATGGCCGATTATGTTAAGGATGCGGTTCTTTTGTATTAAAATATGATTTAAATGTAAACTTTGATTTCGCGTGCGTGTGAATAAACTTTAAAAGTTTAAATTTAGGACCTCACTCAACAGTGGCGCCATCTGGTGAGACAGAAAACGGTAGCCCTCATTAATACAAAAGTCAAAAGGAAAATTAATAAAAAATAATAAATCTATTTAAAACACGACTGCAAAAAAAACGAGCTATAATAATATAAAATTTTGCTCAAGAGAACTATCAAACACGCTTGTACCTCTCAAACGATTATTAGGTACGGTTGCGCGGCTACTATCCCGACTATATCTTGTGGAACGTTATAACATTCTATTATACCGCTTAAAAAGAATACAAGAACTGTTTAATAGCTGTTATAGCTTATAGCGACAGCTCGGCTAAACAAGACCTGTCTTATCAGTTTGTGTGCTAGTTGGAAATACACCAAATAGCCTCGAGCTGTCACACTTTTCTTCAAACCTAGGTTTGAAGAAATGTTTTGTAGGTACTCACCCAATGGTTCTTCCAGAAGTTTTGCACCAGCGCCGGCCCCAAACTCCTGGCAGGGTTGAGACTGGCGCCCGTCAGATGGCCCTGCAACCGATACCATAATTACATTTATTAGTTTTTTTTGTTAGCAGGCTTACAAAACTGGTTTACAATGAACATACAAACAAATATACTTAAAAAATTGTTAAACTACATTGAAACCTACTCGAAGTGAGCACATGCGTAGTGACAAACTTAAAGACCTTACTTTTTATTATTTAGAAAATTTAGAGGACTTACGAGGACTTAGAAACATAGGAGATGCCAAAATTACTTCTGATGGAGTTATACAAATGACAAACACGATAAAGCGGTTAATGATGACGAAGTCTTGTCCTAAACGAAGGTAGTGTGAATGTTTTGTAATTTTGTGATCCGCTGCCCAATCGTGGGATATTAAATTTGACGAGTTTTAGTATTGCTAAAGAGAGTCAATATGCCCGTGAATTAATTTAAACAAGAACATAAGATCCGATTTTTTTCTGCGTGTATTCAAATAAGCTAGACCGTAGTGATTGGCCCGAGTCTGGTAAGAGGGAAGACGCAGAAGAAGAAGACGACAAATGCCATGCTAAATGGAGGAGATCCCACTAGTGATTCTTTTAAATAATATTATTGATGATATAGAGGACTCGTTGAATATTTAATGCATTTCAGTAAGTAGATCGATTAAAAGACTGTACCGAACTAATTAGGATTCCAAAGTGGACTACAATATTCCATGATACAATACGTACAATAGAATTGTAGATGAGAAAAGTAAGTTTTGGATCATTTAATACTTTCATCTGCCGACTGATAAAACGTGCGGATTTAGATATTTTGCCAATTGTAAAGTCAATGTGATATTGAAAAATCAGAGCACTGTCCATAATCACATTCAAATCACGAATCTTCTTTCTTCGGATAACAACTTGCCTTGAATAAGATAATTAGCGTTCGAAGGATTGGTTTTTCGCGTAAACTTTATATGATACAATTTGTTTCAGTTAAGCTTCATTGAATATTTTGCACACCATTCATTAAATGCAATTAAATCCTTTTGTAAAGCATGTGTATCCGCCGGATCTCTAATAGCTCGATAGACCTTTAAATCATCTGCATAAATTTTAACTTTGGATTTTATTGTGGAAGCTAGGTCATTAATGAAAATAAGAAAAAATAGAGGCCTTAAATGAGATCCTTGGGGAACGCCAGATGGGAAAACCTTGGCCGAAGAGGTATAACCATACATTGCTATCAACTGCGAACGATTCTTTAAGTTCGACTCGCACCACTTCAATAGCTATCCACGAATACCTACGTGTTTAAGCTTTAGAATAAGAAGATCGTGATATACGAGGTCTAACGCCTTTTTAAAATCGGTGTATACGGCATGCACATCTCCTTCGTTGTCCAATGCATTAGAGATGTAATCTACATAGGCAACAAAGTTGGAAGTAATCGATTTGTGGCGCTGAAATCAAAACTGGTCTACATGTAAAACTTTTGACCCCGCTATAGATGTATTGCTACACAAAGGACTCAAGCATATTCCCAGGGACAGACAACATAGATATTGGCCAGAAGTTGCTGACATCACTCAATAAAGACCACACGCCCCGATCGGGGCGCGCTCGAAAAATACCGCACGGTCGATCACCGCACGCCCCGTTCGGGGCGCGCTACCCACGGTACTATAAAGCCGTTTTTTTGTGATAGTTATAGCCTACTTTTGTATTAAAAAGTTTAACCATAGATTAACTTGGCGAAATGACCTATATATAGAGCCGTAAAGTTTAAATAGCCCGCATGAGATTAAAGTTTAAAACCCCAAGCAGTTAAAAGTTAGGGCAACTGTATTGCATTTTATGTATAACTAGGATTATTTTCTTTTAATATCACAGATGCGTATGTAACGTATCTATGTAGAACTAGCGGCCGCCCACATCTTCGTCCCCGTTAACTAAAGTTTTATGAGAATCCCGCAGGAATCCAGAAATTACCACGTTAATAATATTATATTTTATGTCTCAATCAAGGTCATAATATATGTTAATCAATTTTCATCGAAATCCGTTCCGTAGTTTTTGCGTGCTCGAGTAACAAACAAACACACGAAAACATACAAACTTTCACATTTACAATCGCTGCCAACAATTTTTTTTCTAAAGTTAATTGGACATGAACGAAGAAGGTTCACGGTGTCTACTGTGTACTGTACTGTCACTGGGAGGGTACATCGGGGGAGGTATTCCGGAAGGGTAACGGAGTGCGCAAGGTGCAGCATACCGACCCCGGCGTAGACGAGTCCGGCGATGCCGCAGCCCAGCTTGATGGAGGCGGCGCGGTCGGGGTTGGCGTCGTCGTGCGCGGTCCACAGCGCGCAGCACAGCAACACCAGCGAGCCCGTGAGCAGCGCCTCCACGCCGGCCGCGGCGGCGGGGTGCAGCTGCGTGGCGGTGCAGCCGGCGCCGTGAGGCTGGCCGGCCGGAGTCAGCACCGTCAGCAGCAAGTATCCGAGCGTCGAGCCCACCAGCTGCGCCACCACGTATGTGGCGGCCAGAGCCGGCGCTATCTTGCCGTAGAGCAGCGCCGCCAGCGTGACGGCGGGGTTGAGGTGGCAGCCGGACACGGGCCCGAAGATCTCCACGTTGATGAGCACCACGAACCCGAAGGCGAGCGCGGGGTGCGTGAGCGGCGCCGGCACGCCCGCCATGAGCGTGGCGACGCCCAGCAGCACCAGCAGCGCCGTGCCCACCACCTCGCCGACCCACGCGCGCCAGTACCGCCTCACCCACGCCGCCGCACCGCGGCCGTTCTCATCTGAAACTTCGAACCTCACATTATACTATGAGTATGATACGCTTCTGGACGCATCCATTGGCCCGCCTTAGAGTTTAGGTTTCGATGGCCCCTACCGAAATATGATTGCTAGATTGAACGAAAACTGTTGATGCAGTTTTAAACCTGATACGTTTTACCATCTTTTTCGATCGTATTGTTTTAAATTTGAATTCAGAATACCATGCGACATGGAGCTACGCCTGACGAGTCGGATATGCGCCTTGTTGAAGGCGATTGATTTTTGAATAAAAATCATGTTTTATCAAATAAAGGTTTAATTTAATAATCTCCATGGGCGTCTACCACAGCTCTCATGCGATTAGGCATAGATTTTATCAACCGCTCTATGAAATTTTGAGGGATCATCTCCCATTCCTCTTCTATGGCAGTTTTCAACTCCTGCATCGTCCGGGCAACTGGCTGACGAGCCCTAACACGTCTTTTTAGCTCGTCCCACATGTGCTCAATGGGGTTCATGTCTGGGCTTCTGGCTGGCCAGTCCATAACTGTGATGTTCACATCCCGAAGATATTCCCTGACGATGCCGGCCGCATGGGCTCTTGCATTATCATGCATAAAAAGGAAAATTGGGCCCACATAGTCCGCGTATGGTATCACGTGAGGTTCTAAGCACTCACGAATGTACCTTTCGGCATTTAATGTTGGCAGCCGTGGTTCTGTAACAACCTCAAGTTGAGTTTTGCCGCTCGCGGATATACCGCCTAAGACAGTCCATGAGCCACCGCCATAAGCAACCCTCTCTTTGCAACCCTTCTCAAGCAGCATTATGCGAAACGCTCTCCCTTAACGTCGGTAGACCTTCTTCCTTCCATCATTGCCATATAACACAATTTTAGACTCATCAGAAAAGAGTACACGGCTCCAATCTTGCTGTGTCCAATTTAAATGACTGCGTGCGAAATGAAGGCGCGCTGTTCGGTGGGCTCGCGTTAGTTTGGGCCCATTAGCTGGCTTGTGTGGTGTGGAGGTAAGGTGACGATTTCTCAAGCTGGTCGTCACGATGAATCGATCCTGCCTTTCAGTTGTGACCCGAGATCGTGGCCTTCCTTGGCGACAAACAAAGCCGCCAGTCTCTAGGTACCTCCGATAAACATTTCGGACCGCAGATCGACTTAAATTAAGTTGAGCACTCACGTTTCTTTGGCTGTGTCCGGCCTGAATAAGTGCCACAGCTTGGGCGGCGACTTCAGGTGAAGTATCCATAGATTATTGATAGAACCTCACCTTAATGTTAAGAATAAGTAATGTTTGTTGCAAAACCAAAGATATCAATCACTTTTTCAAGAATTAAATCCAAGTAAACCAATAAAACCAAGTTTTCTTAGTATTCGATTGTTTGATATCAACAAACAGGCTCCAAATTGTCTTTTGTTTCTTTAAATTCTGTGTTCGAAATTCAAAAAAAGTCTATTGAATGAAATTGTGAATGTACCAGGTTCAAAACTGCATAAAAACTTTTTGCTCGACCTAATATAAAAGGAGATTGTTCAAATTGGCCTAAATGCACAAAAAAATTGACATACACGGTAATTCTTGGTGTATTTTATAATTTAATTTACAGTCATTAGATTTCAACGGCCACCTTTGTATAATATATGTACTTTAAAAAGGACTTTTAATTTTACCGGTTTGGAAAACATACGAATCATTTTTAATGGCTATGGGTGTAGTTACATTCAGCCAAAGACTGATCGAAGTTGTTTATATAACATAAAAACAAATCTATTTTGTAGATCGATAAAATAAATAATTTTTTTTATTACACTGTGGTATTCATATCCACAACTATATTATCATTTTCACTAGATGCAAATGTGCTCAGACAATTATTATAGATGGCAGGCGACATCATAAAGTCTATTGCCATACATTTTTCGCCAAACACCTCCATAAACACATTATAATCTGTATATATGTTACACTTTAAGGTATCTATCTAAGGGCCTACGTTCTCTGACTATAAATTAATAAATAAATAACATTATAAGGTGTGATACACAAAAAATCTAAAATATGGTCTTTCATCATTTCATCTTAAAACATAACAAAAATAATGAAACTACTGAATATATGGCTATAGAACCTAAATCTCTTAGCTTTCTTTGGTTAAAGAGAGCTTAAAAATTCTCTCTAATCTGTGGCTCATTCACAATCATCACACAGTTTCTGTCACAGAGTACCATATTATAACCGGAAATGACACCTGATTTGAAAAGTTACTCTTATGCATTAACTTTAAAAATAGGCAACTATCTGTTAATCTACATGCTCTATATACCTGAATCTAATCCATAATTTCGGTACTTGGCTTGATTTCCCTAGTTTACTATGTAACTTATTTGTTTTTTATTATTTTAATTTGTTCAGTGTAAATGGTTTATAGAAGTTCTCAGGGGTGTCCGTCAATAATATTCGTTTCTACAGTAATTTATATATAATTTCGAATCTAGGAAACAATTTTTCATAATTATTGGTCTTTAGGCCAAACATGTATGGAAGCTGAGCAATCTCCTTTTAGCTAGGACCAAACGAAACTGAAAATACAAGGTGGGCCAATAGATGTGTCCAGAAGTGTATATTAGATAGCTGCTAACGTTGCCCGCGATCGAACATAACTTATTTAGATTATAAGTACGCTATCTTCGTTTTTTACCGTTCCAAAGGTGAATATTGTGATTTTTGGTAATCTCGATGATTTTAATCGCTTTTTTGATTGACTATACGATTTTCTGGAAAATAGCATTAGCACCAGTTGGCGTCGAACTACGTATACTTACGTAAAAAAAGTACTACAGCAAAAAAAATATGTAAAATGGTAATAAGTCAGTTTGACGCACGCGTATTAGCTTATTGTTCTTTTTCTCACTACAATGATACGTTTCAAAGAAATGATCTGGAATAAGCGATTTATTTTCAGCCAACATACTCGTCAGAAAATTTTGTCAATGTTTGCCTTCCATCTCTACAAGGGCATGGAAAAATCGAAGGATTGGACTTATATGGCGAATTTTTTTGCGACGCTGGCAAAAACTCTGTTTACAGACGACGGCGCCTTTAAGAGGCACACCGCCGAACGGACCTCACACCTGGCTCCCGCAAACCTTACGAGCCCCCACAGTGGCTGCCCACTGAGGACCCCGTAACTCTTACGGGCGCTTTACGGCATAATATCCGCTAAAAACCCCTGCGAATACCCTCTAAGCTGCTTAGTGCGAAACCGCGGGATCCCCGTTTAGGGATTCTCCCGCGTCTCCTCACCACCCCTGGACAATGAGGTCACATAAATGGGTCACATAAAAATCGAAAAAATCTAAACTTTTCAAATATTTTTTGTTATACGATAAGATATAATAAACTATCAAACACCCGGGATTCGCCCGACAGTCGCTAATTCGTGTTTTTTTTGGAAATATTTTATAGAATATTTATATTTTCCCCGTATATAACAATCAAATTGCAATACCTGAATAGTTAAGTTATAAACATATGGCAGGTACTTAAGTAATTTATGAACATGGCTCTAGTTTTTTTTTTAATTTAGAATTGTTTTAAGCAACGTTTGCTATTCAAATACCACTAGTAAAGAGACATTTGGAAAGCAGAAAATGCATAAACAAAACATTTAAATATTTTATTTTGATAACAACCTTTTGTTCATAGTTTTTTCATCTCCAATTATTTCATTAATTTTTTGAAGTTATACTTCTTTAGGCGCGTTATGAAAAAATGATGAGAGTGAAATTTATAGATGCGCGCGCATCACTGTAACACAAAAGTAACAGCATGAAGTTGGCCGCGGGCGCGTTATGAAAAAATCATGTGAGTGAAATTTCGAGATGCGCGCGCATCACTGTAACACAATAGTAACACCATGAAGTTGGCCGCGGGCGCGTTATGAATGTTCTCCACCATTATTAGACATCTGTTCGAAAGGTACTTTGAACGATCCACGGAGCTCCATAAGATGATCGCGTTGTCAAAAACAATGTTGGCACGCTCGTCGCCTCTGATCACTGTTTTCATATTTATAATATTTATCCACATGTTTCTAGTTTCTATATAGACACAACGTGTTTTAGTTACTTACAAGTGCTAATTACATATGGACTAATAACTTAAATTCAGTAGTGATTTTAATTGAATATTTTGAATATTTATTTAATTTTTCAAATTAAAACTGAACCTAATTGACTGTGTTAACTATCCTTTTCCAGTCCTTTTATTATTTTATTGTAATTATTAATTATTTGCATGCAATTAAAAAATATTTTTAATGATGCTAAAGAGGTATAACTTCTCACGCGCGTACATAAGTTACACGCATCCATTTTTTTATGAAGTGAGGAATTATTTATCATCGTTTTGAAAAACATATTTACATTATTCTAAGTACCTACCTAAATCTATATGTAGTAGAAAGTAAAAAAATACGAGTAATTTGGCGTACGTCCACACGTACGCCAAATTACTCGTATTTTTTACTTTCACACAAAATGAGACAACTGTTCGTTTGGAATTAGTAGAAGATGATGGTTCGTCTGTAATTAGCAAAAAATGCAACGATCGAAAGCAATGGTTGTATGCTTATTGAAGTATTTTTTGTGAATAAATAGATATTTCGAGAAAAATAAATAAAACCTAAGAAAAATAACAAAATAAATAAAAATTAGTAGGTGACATTGAGATTTGAACCACGGCACAGATTACTTAATAAATTACTTTATACCACGGCACAGACCCCGGATAGGTATAGCATGCTTGCTTGTTTAAAGCTCAAATATAGTATTCTTAATAATTATGAAACATTGCTAGTACTTTCATTGACGACCTCCGTGGCCGAGTGGTTTGTACGCCGGGTTTCATGGTGTCGCCGACTCGAGAGGTCCTGGGTTCGAATCCCGGTGGGGGCAGATGTTTGTGTGATGAATACGAGCATTTGTACTCCAGTCATGGATGTTTAATATGTATTTCTATATAAATATACTTATATATGTACAATATATGTATTCTATCCGTTACCCTAGCATCCCATAACACAAGCCTTATAGTGCTTACTTTGGGGCTAGGCTTAATTGGTGTGAGTGTTGGAAATATTTATTTATTTATTTATTTTTATTTTATTGCATTAAATACGTTGTGTAGCGGTGGACTATAACAAGCTTAAATGAGTACCTATAATGAAGGAAAACGACACGTAGCAGGAAATTAAACATAATATGTGCTTACAATATTATATACGTTCGAAAGCAGGAGTGACAAAACAATAATAATGATCTATGAAAAAGGAATAATAAAAATCAAAAGGTGACGTACAAAGTTATAAGGATTTAAACAAATACATAATAATATCGAAAGAGTTTAGTAGCCACAGCCAGTCGCCAACAAAATAAATTACTATTAATAAACGAAAGTCTGTAAATAAGCCAGAAAGATAAACTTTATTAATAAGCGACATCCAACGTTTATTTGTTGTACTGCCATGTTCGTTAAAGTCAAAAGCAGATGATGAAATTTTATTTAGAAAGCTTAGAGACATCTAGTGAGTTGTATTAATTTGTGATGCAAATAAATGAATGAATTGAATTGAATTAAATTTACTTTGCTACTACTTGCTCGGCACTCGGAATAATACAATTAGTATAATAGGTATCTACATAATCAATATCTGTAAATAAAAAGTTGTCACGAGCTAGGTTGGCAACATTTTAGAAATGAATAAACTGAAATCTGCAAATAAAGAGAAATTGTATCGATGTAAGCGCCATGTAACGGTCA